ATCAGCGCGCAGCACAGTCACGGCCCTGGTGGAGAGCAAGGGCCTTCTGGTGGTGCCCCAGGAGGTCAGCATCGTTGTGGTCCTGCCACACAGCCAGATCCAGTCACGAGGAACAGCAGACCCAAGTGCAGGGACATTCTACAAAATAGCCTCTGGGACTCTTCAGAAGTGTCTGTCATGAAAAAGACGGGCTGTTCAATTGAAGGGGCCTTGAGATGATAATCAAATTCAATACCTCGTCCTGGAATAGCAGGGACTGAAGAGAACTGCTCTCAAGGACAGTATTGGGACAGTTGGGTGAAACGAATATGGACTTTATCACTGTTAAGTTCTTGATTTTGATAATTGTGCATGCGTAAGTGAATGTCCTTGTTTTTCAGAAACATTCCTTAGGGGTCAAGGGGTATATGTCTACAGCTTAGTCTCAAATGCCCGCAGAAGGAAAGCTGTAAAGCAGCCTGAGATACGTTAAGAATCAGTCAGCTGGTGGAAGGCGTACAGGAGTTCTTTGACTTATGCTTGTAGCTGCTCTGCAGGCTTGAAGTTACTTCCGAATATAAGGTTAAAAAGAAGTGAAAGGAAAAACATGTGCACTCAGCATCTGGTGTGGACTTCAGAAGTTCACAAGCCCTCCCACCAAACAGGTTAAGAATAGCTGTGCAGGGGCTTCATATATCTGCTGTGAAGTTGCAGGTGAGCAAGTGTTGGGTTACAAAGGCAAGAAGGCTATGTCAGCCTTACCCTTGACTTCCCCAACCTAAGTTCGGTGTGTGTGGATTGGATTGCTCTTTACTTGAGCACAAATGAAGTGGCTGAGTGGCATGCAGAGGCCGTGTTGCATGCAGAATCCGTACGGTGAAGCCCGTCCCCCTGCAGGGCTGAAGGACGAGGCTCGTATCTCCCATCTCACACTCCGCTCGTGCTCAGTGAGGGGAAGGCAGTCAAAGCCCACTCATTGACATTTACATATTTAAACTTCATCTTTAAGAAACAGGTAATGCACTTACACAAAAATTCAGAAGTGCAAAAGAGCATATGGTGAAAGCCCCAAGCTGTCCAGTTGCCCCTGTACGGATCAGTGGTATCGTCCAGAAAAGGCTCCCCTATGATGCAGTAACAAGTAGCCCCAAAGCCCCAGTTTATTTTCTCACACTGCACGTCCCTCAAGGCTTGGCTGAAGCCCCTATTTGGCTTCATCCTTATTCTGGGGCCCTGCTGATGTGCTTGGGACCCGGGCCAACAGAGCAGCCATCACCTGAAATACTGCCAGTGACCACATCAGGGAAGACACGGGGATCCACACAGTGGCTCTCAGAAACCTCTACCTAGAAAGGCCCTTCTGCTCACACTTCAGCCACATCACCTGGGCAGGGAAGTCCAGTCCTGCTGTGTACCCGGGAGGAGAATATTTGAATGCTTAGCCCTGCCACCCTCCTCCCACCTGCCCTCAGTTATGTAGGACAAAGGCTCCGATGGAAAGAGGTGGCGTCTAAGAAGTGTTGCACAGGGGGGTCACCTTATGGATGGTCATGGGACAGGGTTTGAATGCACTATACACACTCTGACTGCACCGCATAACCTATAGCCAAACAAGTGAACCTGAGCAGGTGAAACTGAGCCAGCGTGAACCTGTAGGTGCCCAGGGGAGGTGGCTTTCCTCCGCGAGCTGTGAGCCAGCCCTTCCCGGCAAGGACAGTGTGCTTGTTACATTTCATGTGTCCTGGTGCCCAGTCTGTTTCCCAGTTGTTGGGTCACATGCCAGTCCAGATGTTGCTGGGATGCTGTTTTGTAGATGTGATTACCGTCTGTAGTCAGTCAACTTTGAGGAAAGGAGACGCTCCCAGATTGTGTGGTGGACCTCGTGCAGTCAGTCAAGCGCCTCAAGAGCCAAAGCTGAGGTTTCCCGGAGAAGAAGGGATTCTACCTCCAAACTGCAGCCAGTACGCTGTCTCACAGTCTTTGGATTTGCCGGCCCCGACAATTGCATGAGCTAATTCCTGCAAGCGAATCCATACACGTGTGCACACACACGCGCACAGCAGCCCAGAGGACACGAAAGGAGGCTTTCCCTGCAAGGTGGAAATCTGCAATCCATAAAACACACTTTGGTGTCCCTGGGGGAAGGCTGCCCTGAAGTCCATAAAAGCAAGCCCTGGACTCCCCTCTCTCCCCACTGGTGTACAGCCGGCACTGAGATGCTCAACTCTAGTTGTTGCTACACAAATATGTTGTTGACACACTGGGTGGAAGCAGAGAGGTGGGCAAAGTGTTTCCTAGTTGCCATAAAAGCTGACACTTGAACGGACTGTGCCACGCCCTGCCCCCTGGCATGCCTCGAGTTGTGTCCCCCCAAAAGGATATTGAAATCAGCCGCCAGGACCTGTGAATGTGACTTCATTTGGAAATAGGGTCCTTGCAGATGATAGAGGTAAGATGAAGTCACTGGGGTGGGCCTTATTCCAACATGACTGGTGTCTTTATGTATGTAGAGGAATGCCAGCCTTTGCCAGCAGACCCCCCGAAGCTAGGAGAGGCACTGAAGACCCTGCACAGCCTTGGGAGGGGCCAGCCCTGCCTCGCCTCCGTGTCGGGTGTTTCTGTTGCTTGAGCCGCCTAGCTGTGGCACTGTGTCGGAGCGCCCCAGGAAACACACGGCCACCCGCTCCGGAGACACCCAGCCAGAGAACCCGAGTATAAGAGGGCACAAACAATGGGTGAACAAATGCCCAACTACTCAGAGGGCAGAGGTTTTCTTAGGCAGAAACTGGGGACTTAAAGATGCCTTACGTACATCACGACACCTGACTGTGGCTTTGTGCCAGGTGCAGGAGGGCATCCCTGAACTGTAATGACACTTAAGGTGCCTACACCCCAGGGGTCATGAGGGGGACTCCACTATCCATAAATGCGGAGTTGGAAACCCATTCCCCCCAACAGCAAACCTTGAAACCCAGGGTCAGGAAACATCTGTTTATTCCAAAAATACCAAGTTGGTGCTCCACTGGCTGTCCTCACCGAAGAACTGGGGGGAAAGCTCGGTGTTGGGGAGAGTTGGGGGTTAAGGAAGCCGTGGAGGGTCTTCCAGTCCAGAGCTGCCTCTCTCCTGTGCACCGTCCCCGCCGCTCCCCGGGAAGTGGGATGTGTGCGCCTGCACACGGGCTGTTGCGCTCACGTAGCGGGCGGGGCATGGTCTCGGCTCTGGAAGCATCCAGGGGGACCTGGCAGAGCACGCCTGCCTCCTCACCCCCTCAAACCTGTCCCCACTATGGCTTATTTGAGATAAGAGGTCAAGGCCCCAGGGTCAGGCAGCCTGTACTGGAGAGCACGGGGAGGAGGGCGGGGAACCTGGAGTCCAGGCTGAGGGAGGTGGACAGAAGCGGGAGAGGCCCCAGACCCACCGGGCCCAGGGGCTGGGAAAGCTGAGGGCTCTGGGGGGGTGGCGAGCAGGGGGGAGGGGCGGGTGGTCAAGCTGGCTCTTTCTGGGGAGTCACAGTCTGCCCAAGGGGCACTGGGCCCCGGGAGGCCTTAGAAGGGATTGGGGGACCCTAGGAACCACTGTAAGCGTGGAGTTGAAGAACTGGCGCTGGGGTCCAGGTAGACTGGTGGTAGCCCCCCAGTTCCCTGGGTGTGGAAGCCAAGGGCTGGCCACCTTTACCTGCCCAATGCTTCTGACAGGAAAGGGTGAGCTTGGGTGCCAGTACTTGCAGGAAGACAGAAGAGGGAGGGGGTCGGCCCAGAAGAGGGAGGGGAGCCCCCCACCCTTGCCTGGAGGCTGGGAGAGGGGCATGTAGCCCTTAAGAGTTGGGGAGTGGCCGCCCCCTGGAACATGGCTATGTACAAAGAGAACCCGGGGCAAGTTGTGCATGGGGTGTCACAGAACCCTCAAAACCCTGGAGGCTCCCCAGTGTGTGAGAGGGAGAGGAAGGAGAGAATGCTGGCCCCGACCACCTTGGACGGATGATGCAGACCCCCACCCCACTGTGCTGGCAGTGGCCAGGCTCTCCAGATGTGCCTGCCCCAGAACCCGGCCAACAGAAGACAGGACTGAAGGCTCCAGGAGGTGAGCAGCTGTCAGCCCAGCCCTCAGGGGTCTCCGAGGAGAGTGTGGCCCAAGCCAGTGGAGTGCTGTTCTGGGCAGGGGTCCAGGTAACGGACTGGGCAAGGGGCAGGGACATCACCTGAAGACTGGGATGCCCCGCTCTGGTGGTGATACGAGGTCTCTGTGTTGGCCCTGTCACCGATCAGCTGGTTGGGCAGAGGGCAGTGAGTTAACAGGAGAGGCCCGGATGCCCACTGGTCTGTGGTGGGGTTCAGCTCAAGTCAGGAGGTGGGCAGTGACACCAAGAGGGACCAGAGTGGGAATGATGACATTAAAGGGGCCCCACCCTACTCCAATTTTGAGGGACTTGGGAAATGGTGTGGATTGTGCTGGTTCCACTTAAGGGAACAACTGTGTGCCATGTGACCCCAGAAGACAATTGAAAGACAGCCATGTAGTACTTGGTCCCAAAGATGATGAATCCAGGAAGATGATGGCACATGGTTGAAGTGGATCCTGGTAAACAATGATACCATTGGGTGGCATGGATCTTAGGAAATGATGCTGTGGTTATGGTGGATGCTGGGAGGTGGTGACACCATGGTTGAAGTGGATCGTGGGACATGACACTGTTGGGTGTCATGGGCCCGGGGACCTGATGACCCCATCGGCTCTCATGGATGCTGGGAGGTGGTGACACCATGGCTGAAGCAGATCCTCAGAGGTGATGACATCATGGTTGAAATTGAATCCTGGGAGGTGATGACACCATGGCTATGGTGGATCCTGGGAGATGAAGACACCATAGGTCATAGGAATCCTGGGATGTGACATCACCATCAGGCATGGTTAGTATTTGACCCCAGGTGCCATACCATCATGAATGGTGGAAGTCTTGTGGCACTGATGATGTCATTAGCAAGACCCATAGCAGTCACACCCCCACCCACCCCACCCACCCCAACAGGAGGCCCAGGCTTTGTTGACAGAGGCAATGATGTTGGTAGTTACAGCAGAGAGAAGTGATGGCAGCCTTTGAGCCACATGTAAGCCCCAGGACTCCAGGAGCCTGGCAGGCCAGAGTGACCTTTTTGGGAGCAGAGGCCAGCCAGGGAGTACTGTCTTCAAGGAGACACATGGGAGGTGACATCACTGCACAGGGGTGGGACCCAAGGCCAAGCTCCCTTTAGATGGAGAGTCTGGCGGACCTCCTGCATCCCTGGAGTTAGGGGAAGGGGTGGCCAGGCTGTTGCACGTGGGACCAGGCGGAGACTCAGATGACACCGGCACAAGCAGCGGCCCCCCAGAGTGGGCAGCAGCCCTTGTGATGACACCGCAGCACTGGGGCAGGTCCTCTGACTTGGGCCACTGCTGACAGCCTATCTGCAGACCATCATCTCTGGTGGAGACCTGTCCAGATAGGGCAGCTCCCCCCACAGTGGTGACACCCCTTAGATGATTTCTCGGGACAGTGCTCTTTCTCTGTGACCTGCAAGACTGTCATGGACTATGGACATGTCTTATGGCATCCTCTTTGAGCAGACCAAGTCCGGTGGTGACACTGCAGAAGGGGCCTCATCCCGGAGATGCCCCAGAGGCAGGCTGTCATCTCTAGCGGTGACATCACGGAAGAGGCACAGGCCTTCTGACAATGTCACAGGGCAAGGCACCTTCTCTGGAGATGGCATCATGAGAGGGAGGCGGAGGCCCTGTGGCACTGTTAGGGGAAGGAGGCCCTTTGTCCAGTGAAGACACGGTCAGCGATGGGTTTTCCCCTGCACGTGCCCTGGAAGATGGCTTTGTCTGTAGTGACAATAGCATAGACAGAGGCATCTTCTTTGGAAGAAAATTTCCTGGTGATGATGAAGTAGAATTTTTGGTGCCAGAGATGACATCGTAAGGGAGAGATTTGTCTCTCCAGTGACACCACGGGAAGAAACCTTTATCCCTGGGGATGAGGTCATAGGACAAGGCATTGTCTCGTCTCTGACACCACAGGAAGTCTGATGATACCACGGGAACATAGATATGGCCTCTAGTGATGACCTTGGGCAGGCCTCGCCTCAAAGAGTGACAGGAGGAGGAACTTGTCTGCTGTGACATCCCAGAAGGAGGCTATGTCTCCAGTGACCACTTCTTCCCAAGCAGTGTCCTCAGCAGCAGCCCCTGGCCACAGGCCGCTCGGGGTCCCAGACCCATGGAGTGTGTGGAGGGAACCCTGCTGCGATGGGGGCCCACAGGGCAGCAGCCCCAGCCCCCAGGCCCAGCTTCACACAGTCACCTCATTCTTGCTGGCGGTGCGCAGGTGTTGGGGCAGGTGATGGCCGGGGATGAACTGCAGCTGCTCCAGGGTGCCCTGGCGCTGGAAGGGCGGCCTGCGGGCCAGCGTGCCCCCGCCCGCGTCGGACATCCAGGCGGGCTGTGGCGAGCCGTGCAGGCCGTGGTGGTGGTGAGCGTGCAGGCCAGGTGGCGGCGGCAGCCCGTGCAGTGGCGTGGGGGGCCCTCCCGGCCCCAGCAGCAGGTTGGAGTGGGAGGCGTTCAGGCTGGCGCGGACGGTGGGCTCGGGGGGCAGTGCGGGGCTGCGCGGGGGTGACAGCAGGTGCTCGCGGCTTTGGCGCAGGGCCTCCGGCGACGACAGGAGCAAGTGCTCCTGTGACACGAGGCGCGCGCGCGGCAGCGTGAATTCGTAGCGCGACCGGCCCCCATCGCCCAGCAGGTGCTCCTGGGACATGACGCGCCGCGGGTTCAGCGCAGGCGCCAGGCCCAGCTCGTCGGGGCTGCCCCAGCCATCCATGCGGTAGCCACCCCCTGTGCCAGGTCGCCGCAGTGCGTGCAGGGGCAGCGTCCCGCGGGGCACCTCGGCCAGGTGCCGGCGCTTCAGATAGGCCTCATCTAGGTCCTTCTCGGCTGGGGGAGGAAGAGAAGAAGCCACAGAGGTGGGTGCCTAGCCGGCCCAGAACCCACCCCCTCCCCTGGTTTCTGTATGTCCCATCCCCAGCAGACCCCAGACATCACCAGAAAGCCCTGGTCATTAACCTGGGCATGGGGGTGCAGAGTCCCAAATTTTAATCAGAACAACCAGGCTAGCTGTGTGCCCCAAATGCAGGTTCCCAGGCCCCACCTGCATCAATGAGTGGTTTGACATGGGGGACTTTTTTTTTTTTTTTTGGCCTGGGATCATCCCTTCTTTTGGGAATAGAACCCCATCTCTTGCTTTTGAGGGACCACTTTTCCCTCCCTTTCGTCATCTAGTAATGCTTTTAAAACTTGTAGATGTGACCCATTCCTGGGTTGTGAAGTCAATTTCATGGGTTGCGACTGGCATTTAAGAAGGTAAAATAGAAAAGAACATTATCAGATAATAATGCAGGAATATGTGTGAATATTGGCTCATCAAATTTTTATTTCAGTATGTGTGTTACTGAAGTAGTATCAGATGCAGTGACATGATACCTGGGGTCCATTAAAAAATATCTGCCAAAAGATGGGGCGAAGAGAGGACAGACTAACAAAATGCTGCCCATTGTTAAAGCTGGGTGATGGGGATAGGGATTCACTTTACAGTTTCCTCTACTGTCGGGTTTGTTTGTAGATGTTCATAGTGACCAGTTTCAAAGCTTTGCTGTAATTAGAAAACAATACATGTGCGTGTGTGTCTCATGGGTCCTAATATAAAAAGTATTTCTTACAGTGGCTCTCAGTTTAAAATGTTTGATGGTTACTGCACTGCCCAGTGATGGCCCACTGACGCAGAACTATCCAATCAGAGTCACAGTGATTGGTTCAAGGATGAGCATGTGACCTAATTTGGGTCAATAGGATCCAGGACTGGGATTTTTGCTATCATTGGGAGAAACTCTTTTCTGCTGGTAGAATGGTGGTCTGAAAATTCTCAGGTCAGTATTTGCCACCACAAGGGAAGAATCTGTCCGGAAATGAAGCTAGCCCACTGTTTAGCAGAGCCAGGAGAAGTGGAATCCTGGAGGTAGCTTTTTGAGCCGCTGGATGCAACCTCACCTGAAGATTGTGACTCACAAACTTCCCATTATCAAGCGAACACAGTGACTTTCTTTTCCTTTTTTTTTTTTTTGCTGAAGTTGTTTTTCTATTAATTGCAAATACAAATCCTGATGAATGCAACAAATCTCAGGGGCAAGAATTTCCATTTTTATAAAGCACCCCAGGTAATTCTGATACAAAATTACCTTGGGTAATTCTGGAAGGAACTTAGAGGAAAACCTGAGGGAGGCGCTAAACCTTTCCACTGTCTACGGTCCTGCAGTCAGGCCCGGCTCTGATCCCGCCCCATTGCCGGCGGCTCCCCGTGCTGGGACTTACCCAGCCTCTTGAGGGAGGAATAGCGGTTGAGTTCAGATTTCACAGCAGCCTCGTAGGATGGGGGCAGATGCGAGAGGTTGTGGAAGGACCGAGAGCAGGACAGCGTAGAGTAGTGCAAGGAGGGGCTGGGTGGCGGGACCGCCCGCCAGTCTGGGAGTGGGGCATGGCCAGGGTCAGTCCAGCCCACTTCCCTCAGACCCCGCAATTCCCACCCCCAGCCCCTTAGAGAATGAGAAATCAGGGATTCAGCCCCTTAAAGCTCCACAGGCCAGGCTCCCGCTGCCAACTCTCCTGATCAGGAAATAGGCTCTTTGCTGGAGAAGGATGACATGCCACAGGACGAGGGGCAACTGACACTTGCCCAGCACCTGGCATGGGCCTGGCCCTGGGCTGGGGCGGTGCCCTCCATGCATCTTCCCACCAACCCAGCTGGGAAAGAGATGACCACTTCTCGTGTCGCAGTGGGGAAACAAGCTAGCTTGGTTACTTGGCTAGATGGTTAGGACGGGCCTCCCAGGGTTTCACACCTGCTCTCCTGGGGCCCCGGTTTGGGCCCAGCACAAGGGAGGGAGGGAAGGAGCCCTGGCCCCAGGCCCCCGCCCCAGCGCGGTGCGTACCCAGCATGGTCGCGTGGTGCTTGGGGCTGTTCATGTTGAGGTGCGGGTAGTTGTGACGCAGATTATCTGTGGGATGAGGAGGGAGGGGCGTCACCACGGAGCCCGCTCCTCACTGGTCTCAGGAAAGGCTTCCACTCACATCCACGTGGTCCTCAGCTCTGGCCTCTCCTTCTCCTGAATTTCTGCCCTGCCCCACCCTCCTGGATCATCAGACCAACCTCCAGCCCATCGGGCCAGCCAGTGCCCACAGTCAGCCCCGCCTGGTATTCCTGAAATCCACGCCTGCCTGTGCCCCTCTGCTGCTTGAAACTCCCCCCATGTCTGGCTGTCACACGTTGGACAAAATATAGACCCCGACAAGCATTTGAGGACTGCATGCCTTGGACCTAGCTGACACCTGCAGCCTCATCTCTCATCCTTCCCTCCAAGCCACACTTCTCTGATGCCCAAATGAGCCCAGCTCAGTCCTGCCACAGGGCCTTTGCACATGGTAGGTATGCTGTTCTCTCTACCTTGAATCCCTTCCTCCCCTTCTTTGCCTGAAGAACTCCTACTCATCTCTCAAGAGCCGGCTCAATGTCTTCCTTACTGCTACTATTCAAACTCATCTCCTCTCCCCCATTCCTGACCCCAGCTCAGGCCCCGTCCTTGTGGCATGGATCATTATCCACCCTCCCCCTGAGCCTCTTCCTCTTGTCCCCCTTTCACATGAGTTCCAGAGAAATAGTTCCTCCACCCACTCCTCACTTGGCTGCTCCCTGCTCTAAGCTCCTCCATGGCCCCCCATCACCCTCAGGACAAAGGCAGAGCTCCTCAGCTTAGCCTGGTGCTCAAGATCCTTCCTGAGGTGGCTGCCCACCCTCTCCCTGGCCTCACGAGCTCTGCTTCAGCCACCCAGAGCTCCAACCCAAGTAACCCCCTCACTCTCTAGGCCCTACAGAATAGCATTTCCTGGGGAAGCCTTCCTCCTCAAACCAGACCAGACCAGACTCTCTTCTACCTGTGCACAGCGATCCTGGACTCCTCCTCCCACGTGCTCACTATGAAGTAACATAAGAATAACCACAGCAGCAGCTCACGTGCCAGGCCTCGCCCAAAGCACCTCACTCTGGGGCGTTTGTTCCCACAGCAATCCTACTGGGTGAGTGCAACTATGCTTCCCACTTTATGGAGAAAACGGGGGCCAAGAGAGGCGAAGTCGCTACCCCAGGCCAAACGGTGCAGAGCCAGCGTTCAACCCCAGGCGCGCTGGCTCCCAGCAAACTCGAATTGAGTGGTTAGGTGCGTCTCTGGGTGCTGGATGTTCTGACCCCGGGTTCCCAAGTGCGGGAGCCAAAAACGCCTCAGTGTAAGTCACCGTCGCGTTGTGGCGCCCTCCAGGGGGTTCACAGGAGGACAGTGGTCTGCCCTGCGTAGTTCCTCAGGTCTCACCTAGAACGTCCTGGCCACTGGTGTTCAAGGGGGGGCGGGGCGGGCCCACGGGAAGGCGGGGCTGCAGGGATGCCAGGCTTGGGAGCCGCAGCTCCGGGGGCCCACTCACCGAGATTGGCAGGCTTCACGGTGTTGTAGAGGTTTTTGGGCGTCCTCGGGGGCATGCTGTCGGGACCCCCGACCCCCGGGGTCAAGGAGCTGCTTCGCGCCCGGTCGGGGCGGGTCCCAGGCCCCGCCTGATGTCTCAGAATGTCCACCAGAGCCCTAGAGGTGGCAGAGGGATGGGCATCGGCCCGGAGGCTGGGGGTGGGGGCGGGGCGGGGAGAGGAGGGCCCAGGCCTCTTCCCCCAGACCCTGTTCTCCCCTTTGGGGGAAGCTGTCCTGCCTGTCGCCTTTGTCCGCTCCCCTCGCTAACGTCAATCTGAGCATTCCCCGCCCCAAGTCCCTCGGACCACACTTCCTGCTTGAAGCGCCCCCTTCGCCAATTCTTTCCGACCCTACCCTTTCTGTGGTCCTTCCCGCATCCGCCACCTGGTCCTGGACCCTGTCCCTTTGGCAGCCTTCCTGTGGCGATAAAGGGCGCACTGTTCGCCCAGTTAAGCGGGCCCCAGGCCTCAGAATCCCCCTCCGCCCCTCTTTCTCTCTCCTTCATACCCCTTGCAATCTTGCTGATTCGACCTCCAAAGTATAGCCCCTTTCTCACCACCTGCCAGGACCCGCTCCCCTAGCTCGTTGCTGCAGTCTCCGGACCCGTCTACCCGCCTCCACCCTGGGGCCTGCGGTCTTGTCCCTCACAGCCCGGGGAGCTTTTAGGCCAGACGGCTCACGCCCGGGCCCCAGGCAGTGTCCCCCGCCACCGCCGCACTCTCCGGCTGCCGGCCCCTTCGCGGTCCTGCGAGCACTCCACCTCAGGGCCTTTGCGGGCACTGTTCCCTCTACCTGCAGTACCCACTGACACCTGCTTGGCTAGCTCCTTTCCTTCAAGTCTTCGTGCAGAGGGGCGTTTCCTGACCTGACTGCTTCATGTCCAACCGCGCGCCTCCCTTTGCTCTCAGCCCGTTCTGCTAATTTATTTTCCCAACCTGCGGCTGTCAATATCTAAGATTATACTGCATGTGCTGTCCTGTCCACCACTAACAATGATAATGGTAGCCAACATTTATTGAGGTCTTACCATGTACCAGGACGCGACATGAATCAACCCAATTAATCTCCATTACAGTACGAATGGGTGGGAAACAATTATGAGCCCCATCGCACAGACGAGGAAAGGAGCCACAGAGAGGTTAAGGGACTTGCCAAGGGTCACACAGCCCGCAGGCAGCCAGACCTGGTATTGGAAGCCAGGTTACCCACCGGGGCAGGGACCTTGTTTTGTTCACAACTGAATCTCCAGGTCCTGGTTCACAGAAAGTGCTCAAGAAATATCTGTTGAATGAATGAAGACCTGGCCTGCCCCTGTCACTCAACAAACAGCCAGGCGGGTTCTGTAGCGGCTGCTCTCAGACCTCGCCCATCTCCGCGGGGACTGCCTGCGGGTCTCCGGACCCGCTCCCACCCTTGAATCCCCGCCCACTGGTGGCTCCACCTCCCATTGCCCGGGCCCCGCCCCCAGGCTCTCTACCCTACGGCACCAGCGCGCGCACCTGGGCACGTTGATCTCCCGGTGCGCCCTGGGCGCACGGGACGCCTTGCTGAAGGCCACTTTGGCTCCGACGCCCACGGCCAGGGCGAAGCTGATGACCCCGCACACCACGTAGGCCGTGCTGCCCCCGGGGCCCTCGCCCCCACGCCCTCCCGGGCCCCCAGCCCGGCCGCCTTCCAGCCACCCGGCCTGGCCGGGCCCGGGTCCCCCGCCCGCGGCCCCAGCGCCCCCGGCACCCCCGGCCAGCGGCGGCGGCGTGGTGGCCCAGCGCGGAGTGTCGTAGTTGGAACAGGAGGCCTGCGCCAGGCGCATGTGGCGGTGCTCGCAGCAGAAGCGGTAGTGGCAGGTGCCGCAGCAGAAGCGGTAGGAGCCGGTGCTGCAGTTGAAGGTGGCGTCGTACTGGCCCATGACGTCGTTGGGGCATGGCCAGGGTCAGTCCAGCCCACTTCCCTCAGACCCCGCAATTCCCACCCCCAGCCCCTTAGAGAATGAGAAATCAGGGATTCAGCCCCTTAAAGCTCCACAGGCCAGGCTCCCGCTGCCAACTCTCCTGATCAGGAAATAGGCTCTTTGCTGGAGAAGGATGACATGCCACAGGACGAGGGGCAACTGACACTTGCCCAGCACCTGGCATGGGCCTGGCCCTGGGCTGGGGCGGTGCCCTCCATGCATCTTCCCACCAACCCAGCTGGGAAAGAGATGACCACTTCTCGTGTCGCAGTGGGGAAACAAGCTAGCTTGGTTACTTGGCTAGATGGTTAGGACGGGCCTCCCAGGGTTTCTCACCTGCTCTCCTGGGGCCCCGGTTTGGGCCCAGCACAAGGGAGGGAGGGAAGGAGCCCTGGCCCCAGGCCCCCGCCCCAGCGCGGTGCGTACCCAGCATGGTCGCGTGGTGCTTGGGGCTGTTCATGTTGAGGTGCGGGTAGTTGTGACGCAGATTATCTGTGGGATGAGGAGGGAGGGGCGTCACCACGGAGCCCGCTCCTCACTGGTCTCAGGAAAGGCTTCCACTCACATCCACGTGGTCCTCAGCTCTGGCCTCTCCTTCTCCTGAATTTCTGCCCTGCCCCACCCTCCTGGATCATCAGACCAACCTCCAGCCCATCGGGCCAGCCAGTGCCCACAGTCAGCCCCGCCTGGTATTCCTGAAATCCACGCCTGCCTGTGCCCCTCTGCTGCTTGAAACTCCCCCCATGTCTGGCTGTCACACGTTGGACAAAATATAGACCCCGACAAGCATTTGAGGACTGCATGCCTTGGACCTAGCTGACACCTGCAGCCTCATCTCTCATCCTTCCCTCCAAGCCACACTTCTCTGATGCCCAAATGAGCCCAGCTCAGTCCTGCCACAGGGCCTTTGCACATGGTAGGTATGCTGTTCTCTCTACCTTGAATCCCTTCCTCCCCTTCTTTGCCTGAAGAACTCCTACTCATCTCTCAAGAGCCGGCTCAATGTCTTCCTTACTGCTACTATTCAAACTCATCTCCTCTCCCCCATTCCTGACCCCAGCTCAGGCCCCGTCCTTGTGGCATGGATCATTATCCACCCTCCCCCTGAGCCTCTTCCTCTTGTCCCCCTTTCACATGAGTTCCAGAGAAATAGTTCCTCCACCCACTCCTCACTTGGCTGCTCCCTGCTCTAAGCTCCTCCATGGCCCCCCATCACCCTCAGGACAAAGGCAGAGCTCCTCAGCTTAGCCTGGTGCTCAAGATCCTTCCTGAGGTGGCTGCCCACCCTCTCCCTGGCCTCACGAGCTCTGCTTCAGCCACCCAGAGCTCCAACCCAAGTAACCCCCTCACTCTCTAGGCCCTACAGAATAGCATTTCCTGGGGAAGCCTTCCTCCTCAAACCAGACCAGACCAGACTCTCTTCTACCTGTGCACAGCGATCCTGGACTCCTCCTCCCACGTGCTCACTATGAAGTAACATAAGAATAACCACAGCAGCAGCTCACGTGCCAGGCCTCGCCCAAAGCACCTCACTCTGGGGCGTTTGTTCCCACAGCAATCCTACTGGGTGAGTGCAACTATGCTTCCCACTTTATGGAGAAAACGGGGGCCAAGAGAGGCGAAGTCGCTACCCCAGGCCAAACGGTGCAGAGCCAGCGTTCAACCCCAGGCGCGCTGGCTCCCAGCAAACTCGAATTGAGTGGTTAGGTGCGTCTCTGGGTGCTGGATGTTCTGACCCCGGGTTCCCAAGTGCGGGAGCCAAAAACGCCTCAGTGTAAGTCACCGTCGCGTTGTGGCGCCCTCCAGGGGGTTCACAGGAGGACAGTGGTCTGCCCTGCGTAGTTCCTCAGGTCTCACCTAGAACGTCCTGGCCACTGGTGTTCAAGGGGGGGCGGGGCGGGCCCACGGGAAGGCGGGGCTGCAGGGATGCCAGGCTTGGGAGCCGCAGCTCCGGGGGCCCACTCACCGAGATTGGCAGGCTTCACGGTGTTGTAGAGGTTTTTGGGCGTCCTCGGGGGCATGCTGTCGGGACCCCCGACCCCCGGGGTCAAGGAGCTGCTTCGCGCCCGGTCGGGGCGGGTCCCAGGCCCCGCCTGATGTCTCAGAATGTCCACCAGAGCCCTAGAGGTGGCAGAGGGATGGGCATCGGCCCGGAGGCTGGGGGTGGGGGCGGGGCGGGGAGAGGAGGGCCCAGGCCTCTTCCCCCAGACCCTGTTCTCCCCTTTGGGGGAAGCTGTCCTGCCTGTCGCCTTTGTCCGCTCCCCTCGCTAACGTCAATCTGAGCATTCCCCGCCCCAAGTCCCTCGGACCACACTTCCTGCTTGAAGCGCCCCCTTCGCCAATTCTTTCCGACCCTACCCTTTCTGTGGTCCTTCCCGCATCCGCCACCTGGTCCTGGACCCTGTCCCTTTGGCAGCCTTCCTGTGGCGATAAAGGGCGCACTGTTCGCCCAGTTAAGCGGGCCCCAGGCCTCAGAATCCCCCTCCGCCCCTCTTTCTCTCTCCTTCATACCCCTTGCAATCTTGCTGATTCGACCTCCAAAGTATAGCCCCTTTCTCACCACCTGCCAGGACCCGCTCCCCTAGCTCGTTGCTGCAGTCTCCGGACCCGTCTACCCGCCTCCACCCTGGGGCCTGCGGTCTTGTCCCTCACAGCCCGGGGAGCTTTTAGGCCAGACGGCTCACGCCCGGGCCCCAGGCAGTGTCCCCCGCCACCGCCGCACTCTCCGGCTGCCGGCCCCTTCGCGGTCCTGCGAGCACTCCACCTCAGGGCCTTTGCGGGCACTGTTCCCTCTACCTGCAGTACCCACTGACACCTGCTTGGCTAGCTCCTTTCCTTCAAGTCTTCGTGCAGAGGGGCGTTTCCTGACCTGACTGCTTCATGTCCAACCGCGCGCCTCCCTTTGCTCTCAGCCCGTTCTGCTAATTTATTTTCCCAACCTGCGGCTGTCAATATCTAAGATTATACTGCATGTGCTGTCCTGTCCACCACTAACAATGATAATGGTAGCCAACATTTATTGAGGTCTTACCATGTACCAGGACGCGACATGAATCAACCCAATTAATCTCCATTACAGTACGAATGGGTGGGAAACAATTATGAGCCCCATCGCACAGACGAGGAAAGGAGCCACAGAGAGGTTAAGGGACTTGCCAAGGGTCACACAGCCCGCAGGCAGCCAGACCTGGTATTGGAAGCCAGGTTACCCACCGGGGCAGGGACCTTGTTTTGTTCACAACTGAATCTCCAGGTCCTGGTTCACAGAAAGTGCTCAAGAAATATCTGTTGAATGAATGAAGACCTGGCCTGCCCCTGTCACTCAACAAACAGCCAGGCGGGTTCTGTAGCGGCTGCTCTCAGACCTCGCCCATCTCCGCGGGGACTGCCTGCGGGTCTCCGGACCCGCTCCCACCCTTGAATCCCCGCCCACTGGTGGCTCCACCTCCCATTGCCCGGGCCCCGCCCCCAGGCTCTCTACCCTACGGCACCAGCGCGCGCACCTGGGCACGTTGATCTCCCGGTGCGCCCTGGGCGCACGGGACGCCTTGCTGAAGGCCACTTTGGCTCCGACGCCCACGGCCAGGGCGAAGCTGATGACCCCGCACACCACGTAGGCCGTGCTGCCCCCGGGGCCCTCGCCCCCACGCCCTCCCGGGCCCCCAGCCCGGCCGCCTTCCAGCCACCCGGCCTGGCCGGGCCCGGGTCCCCCGCCCGCGGCCCCAGCGCCCCCGGCACCCCCGGCCAGCGGCGGCGGCGTGGTGGCCCAGCGCGGAGTGTCGTAGTTGGAACAGGAGGCCTGCGCCAGGCGCATGTGGCGGTGCTCGCAGCAGAAGCGGTAGTGGCAGGTGCCGCAGCAGAAGCGGTAGGAGCCGGTGCTGCAGTTGAAGGTGGCGTCGTACTGGCCCATGACGTCGTAGTAGCCGTGGCAGAGCTCGGCGGGAGGGGGCGCCCGCGCCGCCGCGCCCGCGCCGCTCGCCGCGCTGGTCCTGGTGCCGTTGGGCCCCGGGCCCGCCGAGCCCCCGCCGCCCGTCAGCGCCCCGGTCAGGCGCCGCAGGTGCGCCAGCAGGGCGGGCAGCGGGCCCGGGGGCGCGGCGCTCGTGGCGTTGGACGGGCGCGCGGCGGCCGGGCCGGCGGTCGAGGCCAGGAGCAGCAGAGTCCAGAGCGGCAGGAGGGCCGGCATGAGGCGTGCAGGAGGTCGGCGGGGCCGCCAGGCTAAGGGGAGAACAGAGGCTGGAGCAGGGCGGGAGAGAGACGGCCAGGGGCAGAGAAATGTGGAGATGGGCGGCGGGAGAGGACGGGGAGGCGGCCAAGCGAAGGGGGAAGGGGGAGAGAGATCCTACCAGGAGACAAGATGGATGGAGGGGGCCATGCGTGGGCCCAAGTTCGGGGACCCACGGGGCAATGGGCGGTGTGGGGGGGGCAGATACAGCGGAGAATGGCCACGATAAGGAGCAGAGGGTCAACGTGAGTGAGGCACGGGGAGGGAGATTGGGAAGGGCCAGGAAGACATGGGAGGGACGCGCAGAGGTGAGAGAGACGGATAAAAGCCAGAGCAAAGACAGGAGGAAGGAGGAGAGGCCGGGGGGTGGGGAGGGGGGGTGCGGGGCCATCGGGGGGCAGTTGGGATGGTTTAGTGGCGGGAATGGAGACAGGTGTGGGTGGGTGGGCCGTGTAGGAGGAGCCGGGGAGATAGGGAAGGAGAGAGAGGGGGCAGAGATTGGAATTGAGAACTGATGTTGCAGGCTGGGCAGGTGCGGGCCCTGTTCAACCTGGGCACATTTGGGGAAGGCCCGACTTTGTGCAGGGGGTCCGCCCTGTGCACTGCAGGCTGTGTAGCAGCCTTGCTGGACGCCAGGTGCATTCACATTCCCCATCCTCCGTGACACCGTGACATGGGCTCCAGGCATGGCCAAATGCCCCCCCTGGGGGCACAGTCGCTCGCAGTTGACAACTACCGGCTCAGACCCCCAAAAGCTTCTGTCTCTCCCATGTTTAGGTCTGAAGCTTCAGTCCCCACCCCATACAGTAAGCAAGCTGACAGGCTCGGGTCTGCAGCACCTCCAGCCGCAGTGAGACAGGGTAGCGGTGCTTCATCTTCCAGCTCCCCCACGTATCAGCGGCCCGACCTCGGACAGGCTAAGCCCCCCGTGCCTCAGTTTCCCCACCTGTAAAATGGGGTAACGATGGTTACCAAAGGACAAACGAGTTAGTAGGTGTAACAAATGTAGAGCGGCCCCCGGCCTACTGCAGGTGCTAGTTACGTGTGAAGGTTTTGCCCCCGGCGCTTATTTTACAGGCGGAGAGGGGCGGTGAAGACAGCAGGGGCAGGGGCCAGGTGGGGGCGGGTCTTCCCGGCCGTTTCTGTGGCAACAGCCAAGCGGGAGGGTGCCGGCGGCAGGGTCGCTGAGCCCTGGGGGTGCCTCGGTGAAGAAGCCACCGGCTTCCGCCCTTCGGGGCTTACTTTTCAGCGAGGCGACCGAGCCAGCGCACGGAGAGGCGGCATGTGATGCCTGTGGGAACCTTCTGGAGAAATGTTAAGCAGTCGGGGAGGAAGCCATGTGAGCGGCATGAGGGAATGGGAGGGATGGATGGCGGGCGGGACTAGTTTAATAAGAATCATCCGGTATTTTTACCATTTGTTCCTTTCCAGGGAATGCACGTGTATCTAGGGACCACACCATTCATTATGAACGTAACTGCGGGGGCTGCTTGTACCCCTCCTCCAGTGGGGCCTCCACTTCCCTTTACAGCGCTAGCTGGGCCCTCCCTGAACTTCAGCCCAGAGCCGCCCAGGCATATTAGAAGGGGCTTGGCCCACACTGTGCAGAGCTGTTTGTCGGTCCCTCAAAAGTTAAATAGTTACCAGGTGACCCAGCGAGTCCACTCCTATAAAACATGTCCACACAAAAACTCAAATGAACGCCCCGAAGTGGAGACCACCCACAGGCCCGTCAGCAGATGAATGGGTAAACAAGATGTGGTCCGTCCACACCATGGACTCTTACTCAGCAGTGAAAGGAAGGCAACACCCACACAGGTCCCCTCGTACCGTGTGACCCGTTTATATGGATGTCCACAGCAGTGAGACCCACAGAGGCTTCGCATTAGTGCTTGCCTGGGGCTGAGGGAAGGAGCGGAGAGGGAGTGGCTGCTTTTAGGGTCATGAGAATGTTCTGGAACTAGGTAGCGGTGATGGTCGTGCAACAATATGAATGTACCAGATTTGACCGAACGGTACACCAAGTAGCTAAAATGGTCAATTTTATGTCATGTGTATTTTACCACAATTTTAAAAAACAAAAAAACCTCCAACATAGGTCACATGACATCAGCCAGTCCCTTGTTCCAGCCGCCCACCGGCTTCCTGTCACAGGGAGGATAAAACAAGCTCCTCTCCCACCCTTCCCTCTTCCCTTCATGCCTCCCCAGGTCCCATGCTCTGGAGGATTCCACCTTCCTGCCTTCGCATCTGCTCTTCCCTCCACCTGGGACCCCTTTGGCCACAGCCACTGGTCCGGCCTGCCCCCTTTCTCCCTTCAGGGGTACCCCACACGTCCTCTCAGCCAGCCTACGGCGTCCTATCTAAACCAGCAGCCTGCACCCGCTGTGTCATAGCTCCCGTCTCTCCTTGCCATGGCACACGGGCACTGATCGGTTGTCTGCCTCCCCGCTAGACTAAGCTCCACGAGGGCAGGCATTGTCCCCATCTGGCTCATGCTGTATGCACAGTAGCCAGCACAGTGCCTGGCAGCTAGCAGTGCTCAGTGAATATGTGTGGCATAGGTGAGTGCTGAAAGAAGTGTGGGAGGTGGGGCTCCTCTCTCTCTACGTTTTCGATTGGGGCACTGAGGTTCCAAGAGGTCACACCATTTTTGTCCAAGCAGGGCAGCTGGGCTTTGAACTTGGGCCTCAGAGCACTGCCATCCATAGAACATGGATGCGTCTATCCTATGGAGAGAAACGTGGGTTGACATGTGCACAGACACACCCCCTTCAACAGACACAGATACATGGCAGTGCGGATTCCTTCATTCATCTGGGGCTACCATGTATGGGAGGGCAGGCTGCGCACTGCACAAGGGGGTCTGGCCGAAAGGCTGGAATCCAGCAGAGCCCTCCTCCCTAAGGCGTGCCAGTGGGGCTGCATCCATCTGGGGGAAGAGGCACCCTTTTCAAACTCACACAGGGTGCCATCTGCCTGCCAAAACTTAGTCATTGGGGAGCTGCATTGGGCCAGGGGGCACCTTTGTCTCATCTGCACAAAGGCTCTCGTGTGGGCTAGCAGTTTGCCTGCTCAGTCCCCACTCTGAGCCAAGCCTCCACTGGGCTTACAGACACAATTCCTCCCTCTGCTAACAGAGCCCCGACTGTCTCCTCCAAGTGCACACACATGCACACACCCAGGGAGACACGGCTCCAGACCACTGAGAAGCCTCCGGCATGGGGAGAGGGAGCAGTAGCACACATTCCCCCAAGTCCGGCAACACACCCACACCATGCATGTGTGCACACATGCACGCGCGTGCACACACACAACACACACACCACACACACATGTACTGGCACCTCTGCCAATGGAAGGATCCCCAGCCTTCTGCCCTGCCTCACATCTGATGAGAGCAGCACCTGCAACTGGGGAGGGGACACACTAAGGACACAGTAGCCTGTCCAGACAGAACCACACACACACAGCAGAACTTACATACACACAGCTCCACAGCACAGGACACCCCGTGTCCTAGACACGATGTGCAAGGATGCCCAGTAGCATCCTGGTGGCATACCTGTAGCCTCCTCCCAACGCTGCTCCATGAAGACACCCAGTGTGAGTTCGGGGCATGTCCATCCAAGACCCAGACACAATCGCAGACATCATGACCCACTGGCACCATGCACAGCTCAAGAACACAGCCAGGGAGCTGCACAGGCCAGCTACACAGAGACACACAAGTGCACACATCACAGCCCACGGCCATGCAGCCTGGTGGGTGTGCGCACAGCAGACACGCCCTCGTCCCGCCGCTGAGAACCTGAGAGCAGGAGTGTGACGCCCCCCCACCCCCAGCTCTCACACAGGCGCTTTCCTCCTCCACAGCTGCAGAGGAAGGGCCCCCCAGCCCTGACCTGCCTCCACACCATGCGTGCCCAGCAGCTCAGGGCCAGAGGTCTGACTGTTTCCCCACCCCAGCCATGGACCTGAGAGATACAGTTGTGGGGACAGAGGTCAGGGCAGCAGCTTGAGGAAGGGCTCCACAGCAGGCCCCACTGTGTCCCTGGGCTCTTGGAAAACCACCCTCCTCCCAACTGCTTCCCTGAGCAGCAGTGCCCACATGCCAACCCCTGCCCCCGGTGCCCCCTCCCTACGACACTGCCAGCTGGGGAGGGGCTGCAGGGCCAGGTTAGCTGGGTGGGGCCAGGCGAGTTGCCCTCTGAGATGCCTGTCAACAAAGACAGGGATGGAGCAGGATGCTGGGAAAGGGACAGGGGGAGAGAGAGTCTTGGTGTGTGTGTGGGGCAGGGTAGGGGGAGGTGGGGACAGAGGTCCAGGGAGAGGGGGACAGGGACCCGGAGGGAGGGGGAAAGGACCGGGGTGGGGGTGCGGCGGTGTGGCACAAATCGGGAGTGGTGAAGACCCAGAGCAATGGGGTTCGGAGATGAAGGGCACAGCACCAGAAAGGGGGCGCAGAGACCCACCGCGGGGAGGAGGCCCAGGCAAGGAGTCAGAAGCCCTGGTCCTCGGGAGCGGGGGGCTGGAGGGGTCGCAGGTGGCAGCGGAGGGGCTGAGGGGGCGCGACGGGCAGCCGGGCCGGGCGCGCGGGTCCGAGCACCCCCTGGGGCCGAGGGGTCGGTCTGGGTAGGCTGTGGAAAGCAGGCAAGAGCAGGCGGGGGCGACGAGGACTGGGGGAGGACCCTCCCGGCGCCCCCGCCCGCCCCGGGCCTGCAGTCTCCCGCGTGCCCGCCCCTCCCTCGGCCGCCCGCGGCCCTCTGCCGGGACCTGCCCCGGGCTGCTGGCCTGCCTCTCTCGGTCTCGTCGCCTCCCTGCGTCTCCGGGCCTCTGTCCCGCGGCTCTGTTTCTCGCGGTCCCCTTCTCTGGGCCTCAGTTTCCTGTGTGCCAGCATTTCCCTGCAACCCACGGCCCGCCTGCCTCTGTATCCCCACATCCTGTCTCCGTCTCCCGGTCCACGCGTCCCCCTCGCTCCACCTCTCGGGCTCCACGTCCCTGTCTGCACGGCTCTCCCAGCCTTGCTGGCTGCAGACCTCTGTCGGTCCGAGCTCTGTGTGTGCCCTGCGCCCCCCGCCCCCCTCAGCCCGGGTTGAGGGGCGGGGTGGGGGGGGCGTTGCGGCGGGAGCTGTGTGTTCCCAGCGCAAAATAGACTCCTGTTGCCATGGCGACGCGAGCGCTGCCTCCGAGACGCTGAGCTTCAGGCTGGGGGGTGAGGTGGGGGGACACCTGGATCCGGAAGGCGGGGGCAGGGGCGCCGGCGCCCGGTCCCAGGGGCTTCTGGAGGAGGGGGAGGCTGGGACTCGTTCCCCGCGGACAGAGGGCCGGGGCCCGGGGCCAGCGAGCGGGGGCTGAGGGCTCACTCCCCAGTGGGGGGCGGGCCGGCTGGGGGCTCCGACGCCGGGTCCGGGGCACTCGGGGGTGACCCCCTTAGGTGTCCAAGGCTTGGGGGGGCAAGGATGACAATCCTGAGGCTGAGGCGCCTCGCCCGGGGGGGCCGTAGGTCCCAACTCCCCGATTTCCAAGGGGGCTGCGGAGTCCGGAAAGCCCGCATGGGGATCCTGGGCTCCTGCGCCTCAGCGGAGCGGGACCTCTCAAATGCAGCTCCGTCCGCCCTCCCGTCCCTCCGTCGTTTGCCCGCAATGCCTCTCCGCAGCCCCGTGCCTTAGTTTCCCCTCCGCCCCACGCCGGGTGCGGCCGCGCTCACCTCGCTCTCCGGCTGCGGGCCCCAGGGAGTCGGGGCGGCGGCGCGGGCCGGCCGGCCGAGCGCGTGTCTGCGATGGAGCCGGCTGGGCGTGCGCGGGGCCGGGGGCGGCCGGCGGGTCCCCTCCTGCGGGGGCGCAGGCTCCGCGCGGATGGCAGAGGCCGGCCCTGCCTGTGTCTGCGCGGGGTCGGAGCCGAGGCACCTCCCCCTCCCCACCTGCGGGGATCCCGCTTCCCCGCCCGCAACCCCCAGTCGCCCCCGGGGTACCCCCAAGCCCAAGAATGGTTCGGCCCACAGCCACATCAATGTTTATTCCGCGGCCCGGGTCCCACACAGCCGGTGACACTCCCCCCCGCCCCGTCCCGTGAGGCGGCCCGGAGCCGAGCCCCGCCTCTCGTTCGGCTCAGCCAACTCCCTCCCAGCTCCAGGAGCCTCATTTGCATTTCCGCGAGCTACGGCCCAATGGCAAGGCAGCACCCCGCCTCCCCGCCCGAGGGGCGGCACTCCCGGTGGACTGCACCACACTTGGGATCCGCGGACGGGGGAGAGACCTCCACCGAGGCCCCGGTGAAGGACGGTGGTCTCCCTCAGGCGGGGCCGGGGGTTCAGCGGAAGAGGGGGTTCTGGCCTTGAAAGAGGCCCAGCAGCCCGCTGTCCGGGGCGGGCTCCTTGATGATCTTCTGGATCTGCAGGGGAAGGGGGTCGGGAAGAGGCAAGGGTCCCGCCTCCCCCGCACAGCTGAGGGACACCTCTGCTCGTCACCTTTGTTACCCTCTCGGCAGCGACTGGCCAAACGAGCCACTTTCCTGTCCTTGGCACCTCCCCGGGCCTCCCTTTCCCCACAGCCAGCAGGCTTAGCTCTGCTGGGTCACCTGCCATCTTGGTCCTTTGCTGGCCCAGACTCTCAGGGGGTCGGGCTCTGTCCCTGGCTTCTTGTCTACACCGGCTTCTTCATAGGTAATCTCACCTCTCCCGTCCCCCAGCTCCGGCTGCCCCTTAACTCCACTCACTGATGCAACGGCCCCTTCGACCTCTCACTGGTGTCCTCCCCTGGTCAGCAGTGGACAGGGGTGCGGCCGCTCAAGCGGAAGGCCCGTAGCTGCTCCCCAGGCTGCTTTCTCCCCCAGCCCGCAGGGGCCCCGTCACGCTTACCTCCAGGGTGTCAACACTGAAAGTAAGCAGGGCCTGCATCCCCATGGCGTGCTCGCCCTCCTTCCTGCCACCAACCCACGTCCATGGGCCACCCCACACCGAACTGCAGATCCGGCCGTGGCTACTCGCCCTGGGCACCCCCATGGCTGCTGGGGCCCAAACCCCAAACTTCTGAGAAGACTCAGCTCTGGCCTCTCTGGCCCTTCCCTGCCCTGCTGCGCAGTTCCATCGGAAGGGCAGGGTCAGCCCCTCCTCTAGGCCTTTGCCAGAAACACTTTTTGGGTGACTGGCTGGTCCTCCCCCTTCAACTCTGCCTCAAGGGGCTGTGGGGCCCCTCCACCCCACCAGGCTGCCTGCTGGTCTCCAGGACACAGAGCGTGAGTGAGCACAGACTGGCTTTTACCGTTGCCCTGGGATGTGCCACAGCGACTGGCACGGTAATGCTCAGTGACTGCTCAGCAGAACTGAACTAAGAGGGGGGAAGGGGCAGACCTTGGAGGGCCGGGAGCAGCAAGCTCAGGCAGGTCCCCTTTCCTAAAGCCTAAGGTTGTGAAGCAGTGGGGGCTACCTGAGACCGGTCCCCTTATCCTAAAGCCTAAGGTTGTGAAGCAGTGGGAGCTACCTGAGGCCCAGGGGCTGTAGGCCACTCACGGTGGGGGTGTGGCTGGAGGGAGGGCCCAGGGCTCCCATCCACAGGGCCTCTGCTGGACATTCTTCCTTCTGCCTGGCTCCCTCCTGCCCTCCCTCCACCCTGAAAACAACTCCCCTAGGAGGTCTCAGGGACCATGCTCTTCAACACACCCTCTGTGCCCAACGCTCCTGACCCTCCCTGAGTTCGCTCTCTCCATCCTCATGGCCTGGACCCCACAGCTCTGCTTTCATAGATTTATGGTGTTGGCGGGGTCTCCCCCCCACTGGACCCTAGCCCCCTGGAGGTGGTGCCCAGATGTATCCTGTCAATACATGGTAGATACTGAAAAGGTATTTGCCTGAAGCATGGGTTGCGGGGTGGGGAGCCCAGTACCTCCTTGAACTGGGGGTGGGTGGCGTCACCCACAAGCTGCAGAATGAGCCCTTCACTGGTGGAGAGGAAGGCGCCACTCTGTCGCATCCGGGTCAGAGCCACCAGCCGATCCACCTGGCTGCCAGGGGGTGGGAGGGTGTCAGCACCTCAGCCTGGACACCCAGACACTTGGTAGACTTGGCAGGGGTCCCGCCCCTGGGTCTTCCTGGGCACTCCATCCCTGTCTCCACCTGTACCACCCCAGGGCGGGACCCTCTCACCTGCGGGAGGAGCAGGCATCCACCACCACGTGGACCTGTAGCCCCTGGTCCAGGAGGTCGAGGGTTGTGTTCTGGGGGCAGAGAGACATCAGGGAAACCCCAGACAAGAACAGGGGTCCGGGGTGAGGGACTTGGAAGCCCGGATGGGGATGAGGGAGGCTGGAATCAGGACCATTTGCAAGGGGTGCTAGGGTAAGATGGGCACCCAGCTAAAATGAAGGGTCCTGAGTAAGGATAATGTCCCAGGTCAGGAAGAAGGTCCTGCCGGGAGGATAGGGGGTTCTGGGTCAGAAAAGTATGGCTTTTCTAGGGTGGGGGTCCAGGTGAGATTGGGCATTTCCAGAGGTCAGTCGGGGTCTCACCAAGATGCAGGCCTGTGTCTCAATGCCACAGAGGAGCACGGAGCGCAGCTGGGGCCGCGCGTCCAGCTCCTGCCGCACTGCAGGCACCATGCTGAAGCAGGTCTTAGGCTGTGGTCGTAGGCCTTCCGCTCCCAGCTCGGGCACTGTGGGGCCCAGGCCTTGTGGGTACTGCTCTGTCAGCACAGCTGGTACCCCCAGCAGCCGGGCCACCTGTGCCGAGGCGGGGGGACAGAGGCCTGAGCCTGAGGGAGGAGGGCTGCGGGCCCGGACCTCTGGGTCTGAGTGTGGAGGACGGTACCTTGAGCATGCGGGCCGCCACAGACACAATCTGTGGGAAATACGCAACATGGCGGAACTTCTCTTGCATGTCACACAGGAACAGGATGGACGATCCAGGGTGGACTCGGCCCAGGCCTGGCCTCACAGCCGCCATGTCCTGGAGGTGCGCAGCAGGGTCAGGCAGGGAGGCGCCTTTGTGCAGGCCAGGGTCCATGCGCTTAGATCCCGGCAGGCCCCCTGGTGCTTGTGAACCTCCTCCTTTGCATCTGCAGTTCCCCACCAGGAACCCACTTTCTTCTTAATGTGTCCTTTTCAGCAGGTAAGTTCCCTCCCAGGAAGCCTTCTCCGAACTTCCCTGCTCCCAGCCTCAGTCTCCAGGAGCCCTGGGAGCCTTCCTGGAGGCACCATTACCTTCTGCCCTGCTGCATCCCAGGCTCCAGCTGTGATCCTCACCTGGCCACAGGGCAAAGGGCAGTGAAGTGAGGGCCCAGGATCACCCAGCTGCTACAGGGAGAGGGTGAGGGAGCAGGACATGAGCAGAAAGAGCCCACCTCTCGGCTGTGTGCCGCGGGGGCGTGGCAGTGCCCTGAGATCCTTCAAGTCTGGTTTTCCCTGCTAGGTGTCTGAAACCCAGCTTAGCCCTGTGTAAGACGTGGGCTGAGCACCCCTCCAGGTCTGAGAAAAAAAGGCTAGTGAATGTGTTGGTGGCATGTTGCTGAGCCATGGAAAGGAGTGAAGCGCTGGCAGGACCCAAGCACCACGCTCAGTGAGAAGCTGTTGCTGAGCCTCTGGTGGTAAAGCCCGTTCACAGGAGAGGCCCAGCGTGGAAGCCATAGACAGGAAGCAGTGCAGTGGTGCCGGGGGCAGGGTGGGGAGCAATGCGGGACTGCTGGGGAGTGCAGAGGTCCCCTGTGGCATGAAAGCATCTGGAACAAGATAATGCTGGTTGCGTAACATCATGAATGTATCTACCTGCCACTTAATTGTACACTTTGAAATGGTCAAGAGGTGGCCACTACTTGTTAAGTTTTGAAGCTGGGTTGGTGAATACACACAGACCAACTTTAACCAAACACACCTACCACAGAAGATGTTTTCTATGTGTGACACAGCATTTAAAAACCAGGGATGGCCACACCAGTGAATTTCATCTCAAAAAACGAAATTGAATGGAAACTCCCACAAAAACCACACTGAATGAATGAATTGCTTAATTACAAAGTGATCAGTGCTGGGACTTCTATGGGATGTGATCTGTCTTGGCATGGTTTGCAAAATTCTCCACAAGGACGGGAAGAGAGAGAAAACAGTCTTTTTGAAAACAGTGCTATCATGGTACACTCCTGGCTTGTCCCCCACTCCCCACACCTTCTCTGTCCTTAGGACTGAGCTGTAACCCCTCCTGCAAAGCACCGGGGACTGTTCCAGCCTCGGTCAGCCATGTCCCACCTGCAATGCTCTCTCATTCCCACTAACCCTGTTAACTCTCCAGGAAACAGAAGGGACAGGGTCAGATGGGGCCCTGAAAGCCTCTGACAGGTCTGTAGCAACAGGGAGTGCCCCTTTGGGCTGGTAAGAGTGTGGATTGCAACAACTCCTGGAGACAGCCTGTGGTCATGTGTCTCAAGATTGTAGAAAAGTGAATCTTGTGACTGAGAAAATGTACCCCTAAGTATTCAACCTGCAGACAGGTGTGAAAGGACACAAGGTCGGTTATTCAGTGAAAGAACCTCTTCCAGCCAGCAAAGGAACAGAAATACACTCAAATGTCCAGAGTTAGTGTGCTGGTTGTATTGGTTATGGTATAGCCATACTACGGAATTCTTTGCACCCAGGGAAAATTACCCGGAAATTCTTTAAGTAACAATACGGTAAAATGTCTAAGAGATGTTAGCTGTGAAAAGAAGCAGAACAGTATGTATAGCAATGCCCCCATTTGTGCCCACCCCTCACCCCCCAAAAAGTGTTTGTACCACTATGTGTATCAGGTACATAAGGGGCAGGTACTGAGGGGCACAGTGTAAAGGAATTTAATTTTCACTGGGCACTCTTCTGTCCTTTTGAATTTTGGACAGTAAAAGGTTGTCTAGTCAAGAATAAATACAGTAAAAGATTTACATAAGGTGAGAACCCGGCAAAACCGATCTGTGCCATTAAGTTTGTGATGATGGTTATCCTTGGGGACTGGTGATGAGGGGGGAACGGTGGGGGGAGGGGGGATGTTTGATTTGTGAATCTCAATGTTGCTGACACCAGAGCATTGATTGCTTTTGTGAAGTTAAAATCTGAGCTGTGTATTTGTGATCTCTACGGTTTCTTGCATATGTGGAACACTTCCTCAAAGTTTTCAAAACGTAAAATAAAGTGAGGAGGTCTCGCTGGCCGCTCTGGGTCTGGACTGGAGGCAGAGGCCAGAAAAAAAGCTGGGGTTGTGGTCCAGGTGGGCAAGGGTAAGGCCTGGGCTTCATTCAGCAAGAGGGGACACAGAGGAGGGGGCAGGACAGATTCCAGCAGGTGGGTCTGGCTGTCGGGGGGAGGGCGGGAAGGAAGACCCCTTAGGTTTCTGGTCCATGGTGACAGTCCCAGGGACTAACTGGGGATCTGGAGAGGGGAACTGGTTTGGAGAAGATGGAATTCATTTCCGGGGCGGGAGTGTGTGTGTGTATGAATGTGGGGAGGGGTCTGGGCTGGAGGCGGAGTTCGGGGTGCGTACGGAAGTGATGAGAAGGTCCAGAACGGAGCTCTGTGTTGGGGGACCCACGGCGGAGGCGCAGGGTGGCCCGAGGCGGGCGGCAGCCTTGGGGGCGGGTGGGGCCGTTTAGCTCCCCACATGGCCCGGGGGCCTCAGGCTTACAGCCCGGACTTCCTGGCGGAGTGACTCTGGAAGTTCCGCGCTCTGGGCCTCAGTTTCCTTTTCGGAGAAACAGGGGCCAAACCCATCCACCCCGCAGGCAGGATGCGAAACTTGGCCGAGGTGCAAAGAGGGTCCGCGTCCCGGCCAGTTCCTGCGGGAGACCGTGCCGGAAGGCCTTGGGCGCCAGCAGGCCTGCCCCTGCGACAGAGCCCGGGGACACTCACCTCCCACGGCCCAGGTCCTCCGCCTAGCGTCCCGCGGGGTCACGTTTAACCCAGTGCAAACTCTTGGCCCGCCCCTGCGCCTTCCAGTCCCACCCACCATGCCTAGAGACCCAATCGGAGCTCATGCAGCTCTGCCCTGCCTCCGCCCCCGGCCAATCCGCAAGCGCCGTCACCTCGCCCTCGGCCGGGACTTGAGGGCTAGGTTGTTAGTCCTGAGAGCGTGATTGGCCCGCCGAGGGGAAGGCAGCGCATCCGACCAATGGAGAGCCGCGAAGGGCGTGAGTGGCGGTCCCGGCGGGGCGGTGGGCGCCGTGGAGCCCCAGTAAGAATCCGACCGCAGGGCAGCGCGTGAAGGAGAACGTGCAGGGAAGGGCAGTTCTGAATTCGCACCCCGGCACCCCGGTCCAGAGACGGAAACTCAAAGGGACCCAAGCACTTTCCAAGGAAAGGGTTTAAAGGCGCGGCGAAGCTCGTTTGTTCTCTGTGCCGCCTCGGTTTTCCCACCTGTACAGCACCTGCCTCCTAGGGCGGTGTTTGCGATATAGAGACTCCGTGCTTGGAAACAGAGCTGAGAGCGAGAGACAGAGATGCCCCAGCAGGCCCGGAATACAAGCCCGACGGTTCCCGGCTCCCAGCCCGCGCGGGCCCCATCCGCTTTGTGAGCTCGGAGCGGGCGGGCATCGTGTCTGTTTTATTCAGGGCTGAATGCTCAGCACCTGGACCTAGGCCTGGCATGTAGCAGGTGCACAACACATCTTTGGAAATAAATGAGACAAGACCAGACATTAGGCAGAGAGGAGCCAGGGTGAGAGGGAGTTGGGGTTGGAGAGAAAGAAGGGAAAAAAAGGGAAGGGGGAAGCGAGGCCCCCCAAGAGGTGGAGGTGGGGGCCCTGAACCTGGGAGAAGACACATGAAGTGGTGGTCTCAAGTGGGAGTCTGGGCATGGTTCATTTTCCCAGGGGGAAGGGATGGGACTGGAGTGGATGGGAGGGGAGGGGATGGAACTGGGGTTCCTGGGGGGTACCTCTGGTTTTTCTGGGGGTCTTGGCTGGGTTGTAATTGTGTGTCATGGGGAGCAGATCCCCCAGCCATCAGGGGTCCTCTGAGAATGGCAGGTACAAGTCACCTCCCACCTGCCCATCCACCCCTCAGGAGCTAAGAGCTCACCTGCTTCCCCTAGGGCAGGTGGGGAAGGGGACAGGGGATCAAAGAAACATGGGGCCTGCCTTAGGTCTGGCTGGTTCCAGGCACAATGGGACAGGTCCGATGGCACTGGGGGACACTCTGGGGTGAGCGCAATGTCATCAAAGAGGTCGAGGGTGGAGGTGTCCAGGGCAGCCTGGCTCAGGCTGGGGCCAGGTGCATGGGGCACTTCAGTGGGGGCCACAGCACAAGCCACCCCCAGGAAAGGGGATGGAGGTGGCAGGGGTGGCCTTTGGAGCCGTGGTCTCTGGGGAGGTGCCTCCTGGGACAGGATGGACCGGGCCAGGCGCTGGGTGGCAGCCTCGATCTTGGCAAACTGCCTGCAGAGAAATGGGTGTTAGAGGCTGGGTGCTGGCAAAGGATGCCCTCCTGTCCGCCATCCCAGCAGTGGTGTTCCCTTCTCTCCCTCCCCATTCTTCTTCTCTGTGCTGGTCTCCATGCCCCTGGGTCCACTTCCTTGCATCTGACAATCCAATTGTTCTAACCACACTGGGAGGGAAGTGCTAAACAGCTCTGGGGTTTGTGCACTGCTCAGGGAAACAAGTCTAGTCCGGCATCATGCACACTTTGACATTTAGATTTATTACGACCATTTCCCAACATATAAACGTAAAAAATGACCTAAGAAAAGGGTGTCTTTAAAAATAATTTCACACAAAGGCACACCATGTGTAACGTGGAAACCCTGTGGACTGTGGATTCTGCCCTTGAACCAGCCCACCTCTCAGAGTCTCTACCAACCCTGGGTGGAGTCTCTCCATTTCCCTTGGTGACTGCAATAGTTACTGGATGGGTGCCCCCCACCCCTGCCATTCCCACCCCCTCAAGAACAATACAATCGATCTCACAAACTGTTATGGCTGAACTGCGTCCCACTAAAATCCATTTGAGAAAGTTTTAACCCCTAGGACCTCAGAATGGAACCTTACTTGGAAATGAGGTCTTTCAAGAGGTGGTTAAGTTAAAGGGACGTCATTAGGGTGGTCCCTAATCCAATAAAAGGAAATCAGGACACACAGAGGGAAGACCGCCTGAGGACACTGGGAGGTGGCCATTTACAAGCCAAGGACAGAGGCCTTGCCCAGCTGACCCCTTGATCTTGGACTTGCACCTCCAGAGTTGTG